AGAGATCTGTTCTAGTTTCTTTCTGACCCAGATCAGGAGACAGGTCTGGCTGGTATCCTCTCAGGTGGTCTCTTGTGGATACCCTTTACATGAATTAACTGTGAAGATAGATGGCTGCATGTGTCCATTGCCCTCCTCTCAAGCCTCCTATACACATGGCATAGCCATATGCCCACCAGATATATAATGAAATACTAGGACTGCTTTGGGGCGAGTGAGCTCCACTTCTGGGAAAAGGGGATGGTGGTGATTTGAGGAAGGCCTTCAAGGCGGGATGCACCTCCATCAATCAGGGAGGAATTGGTATCTCTCCTTCTTCCCAATTCAATTTGTCTATTTATTGTGATGTTAGTGGTTGTTCAATCATGACTATATATATGGTGGCATCATATTTGCTTAGCATTGCTAAAGATTGAATTGGCAGGTCTGGGAGGCATATATGTGTATAAACCTGCCTATGCTCTTTTGTTGATTTTAAAGGGTACGGCAGAAAGAAGAGGAATCAGTGCCTACTCTTTTGTCTACTTAAGTGTCTACTCTAGTGGCCTCTTTGAGAAGTAGCACAAGATCAGCCTCTTCCTCTCTGAGGTTTTTGCCTTGTTCAGCTATCCTAACATGCTGAAATAGGCAGAGAGGGTTGAACAGATGTTGCTGTTGTCACTATTGTTTCTTTCCTGACACTATGCTTCTTCACCAGTAGCATCCCTAAAATCTTGTACAAAACAACATTAAGAACCTGGGGCTGCATTCTTCCTGATAGATGGATATCAGGAAGCTGGTGAAACAGTTAACTTCCTTACTTGTGCTTGGATAAAATATCTATCGAATCTTGATAAGCCAATACTCCAAGAGATTCATTACTTTATACACATGTTAATACACATTTTAAAACATCTCTGACAATTGGCTGTAAATCTGAGTTACTGAATTTTGAAACAGCCCTCTTTAACATCTCATTGAATCCAGGCAAGGAAATTGTGCTCTGACCTGCTAGCTATGATTAATTTCTCTTTAACTTCATATGTTTAAAATACTAAAACTGTGCTGGAGTATTAGGGGCAAAATCAAGAAAGTGATAATGTGATGGGAGGGAGAATATATGCTCTTTTTTTAGATTTATGGTTTTTTCCCCTTCACCCCCCAAAATATATTTTCCCTCCATTCTTGCACCGTTTTAGTCTTTTTACAGACAACTGTTGTTTTAAATCTAGTGCCATAAATCATGATGGTCTGATGATTGTATAGATAGATGCTAGAAATTGTAGTACTACTTCTAGGGAATATTGCCTCTGCTTTTTGCCTCCTCTTCCTGAAACTTTACAATGTGGACAACAAGTACACAGAAGCCATGTAACCAATTCAAAATGTGTGCTCTATCTTATTCCAAAAGTGCACATACAAAAAAGATCTTTTGTTGTATCTACCAATGAGTCTAATTTACTGAAGCTTAGCTGTTTCTTTCCTAATGTGAGAATGTTTGTAGCTAATTTCGACAGTAGTAGAGGATCCAAATTGCTAATAATTGCTTGAGACCGTTGCCTGGATTGAGGTGGCTGACAACTTTCTTTTGCTTCATTTCCCCCTCTCTAATCCTAGCAACTAAAAAAAGTCCTTGTTCAAAATATGGCAGAGAGGAACTCCATGTTTTCCACTGTTAAAATCCATAGCTCAATTACATCAGGGAATGCTCTCTGAAAAATCCCCACCAATTGTCCTGAAGTGAAAAGCTTTCAGGACATGCAGTACTGTTTACGAGAAGAATCTCGAAGGGACTGCCAAGTTCTTTCTTCCTTCCCAGAGTTCCACATACTTTTCCGGTGCTGTTACTTATGGGGGCAAATTTTGTTTACCATAGTGCTTGTGTTAAGGCATAGATGCTAGATCAGTTGCTGCTTCTGTTCCTGGCTGGAGGATATATGAATGTTCCAAATTGCTTCAAGTGTAGAAATAGCAGACATAGGAAGTCAACATTACTGAGGTTGGTCTTCTTTACTTGCCATTATATACTTGGGCAAAAAGTATGTTGCCTAGGGAGTATCCTGGGACCAAGATGGGCCTTCTTGAAAGATCTTGCTGGACAGTGGCAGAAAACCTAGTTTTGTGGTGCTTTATGTTAAACAAGGAAAACCTGTTTGCAGGAATCTTGATCTTTTCCAGTCATCTGATCACAATCTACAAAGCATTACTCCTGTATTGCCTAGACTGGGGATCCCCAACCCTCAGTCCGTGGACCGGCACCAGTCTGTGGCATGCCACCAACCGGGCCATGCAAGCAAGCTAAATCCCATCCGCAGAATGCAGGCAGCATGGAAAACCACACTCCCTCTTTTCATTTCTCCATGGAACTGATGTTTGGGGGCCACTTGCCTAGATTTCATATTTAGCTAATACTTTTAAATACATGACTCAGTATTCTATGAGAGCTGTTTATGTATGGATCAGACAATTGCCTCACACCTCCTTGTAATGTAGCTATTTGATGTGAAATGAATCTTTCCAAGGGAGGTGGGAAAAGCAGGAAGTTGCTGCTGTTCACTGCCTGATAACAAGTAGCTACATAGTTAAATTATGTATCATCAAAATGCTGACTAACTTTACACTATTGCAGCAATGTAAAGATAGCCAGTGTGAAAGAATAAGAATAGATCCTTGTTTGTTTTCCATAACTGCAACTCAAGTTTTTGGGATCATGTTTCAGGCAACTTTGGAAGTATAAACTTTGGGGACTTTTGAATATTATTAATTTAGCAAGAGAGAGGACAGAGGTCATTTTATATATGGCTCTGCACCTGCACCTATTATTTTTTAAGGTAGGCCTGTTTCACTTGAAGAAAAAAAAACCCCTGTATTCTATCATGGATTAATGAGAGTTTTTTAATTTGTTGATGATGTATAAACTGCACCTATGTGATATTTTTGAACATGTGCAGAAATCACTGAAGTAAGTACTGTACTGTGGTCTTTGATTTTTTTTAAAAAGTTATATCTCTATAATCTCAGCCTGTAAAGGTAGCTAGATGTTAAAAAAAAACACTGTCAAATCTGTATTTTTTTTTCTTCCCATTCATGGATTGTGAAATGCTTGTGTAAATAAACGGTAACTCTGCTTGGTACTGGTTATTTGTGTCTTTACATGTTTTTAGAGAAAGGGAATTTTAAAAATGTTTTGTAATACGTTACAATGATGCACATAGTTTACTTAAAATGCACTGTGGGATCAGGTCTTTCAAATAAACTAGAGTCCCGAGTTGTTTTTGAAAGAAAACCCTAATTATTCTACTATGACATGCAGTTCCTAGACACTCGGAAACACCCATTTTTCCCTTCTCCGGATCACTGTATATATTCTTTTAAAGATTGAAGAACCTTTTAGACTTTATATTGGCTGCTAAAGCAGAAGTGTAAAATGAATAGAATATGAATAATTTGAAGACTGTCTGAATTTATATAACATGCTAGGGTATACTAGGAGAGCTGAAGGTGATTTTTGGTTCACTGTGTTGTGAGTTCACTTTCATTGCCCTAATGTGTTGTGGCCCAGATCCAGTTGAGCTGCTGATGGACTCGGATAGCGAGGAACCATGAGTCTGCCAGGGAAGATGTGGTGGACCCTGGGCAGGATTCAGACTCAGAGCAGGGATCAGAGAGGCTGGTTGGCACCAGGAGGTGCCTATGGCATGGAGCAGTGGGGAGGACTCAAGGCAGTTTGTTCCTGACGCCAGACAGAGAAGACCGGAGAAACGGAAACAGCAGCTGCAGAAGCAGACACAGAGACAATAATTAAGCCCAGGTGGTTGTGGCTTGGTCCCTCCCAAGAGAGTATATAAGTAAAGAAGTGGGGAGGAGTCATTTTCAAGACACAACCGTTTGAAACTGTATTGGAATACTCTGTCTGTTGTGTATCTGTGCCTGTTGGATTTTCAACTAGTCTTGCAAGTGAGTCGTGTGGGCCTTCAGCCAAAGGAGTTGATAAAGCCATGATTAAAGAGTGGCAAACAGCCAGACCTGTGTTTGGGTGATTTGCAAGTCAGAGGGGGAGTCAGAACATAATGTATGATGCAACTCATCCCATTAAATTGTTTGCTTGCTTATCACATATGTTATTTGAAAACAACTACTGCGGTTTCTTAATCTTGGCTTGTGAATCCAGCCAATATGTTTGGATTGCACATTTAACAAGTGGACAAAATAAGTTAAACAAAATAGTGCTGTACAAAATATGGATTTTAGAATTCTGTCAATACTTTTCCCTTCTCTAAACAAAGATTGGCTTACCTAAACTAATCATTCAGTTGACAAAAATTTAACTTTACCTAATATAGAACTGGAGGTGGCTAAGATACTGAGCTTGTCAATCAGAAAGATTGGCAGTTTGAATCCCTAGTGCCATGTAACGGAGCTCCCGTTATTTGTCCCAGCTTCTGCCAACCTAACAGTTCAAAAGCATGTAAAAATGCAAGTAGAAAAATAGGAACCACCTTTGATGGGAAGGTAACAGCATTCCGTGAGCTTCGGCATATAATCATTCCAGCCACATGGCCAGAGACGTCTCCAGACAGTGCTGGCTGTTCAGCTTTGAAACAAAAATGATCACCGTCCCCTAGAGTCGGGAACAACTAGCACATATGTACGAGGGGAACCTTTATCTTTTAATATAGAACTTGGATTTCAACAGAGTACCTTATTTATAAAAATACAGACATTTTACAAAAACATCCAATTTTTCTGTGGTGGTTATTGCAGATCTTCATGATTGTTTTTCAAAGATTTCAAAAACATGAGAAAAACTCTTGTATAATAAGTATACTTCGCTATGGAAGTCTTTATTTGCTATAACAGACTTGCAAGTATATTCAAACAAGTCACTTAGAAATATTTTACCTGGTTGCCTATGAATAAGCATTAGCAAAATGGCCCCATCTAACCATTCAAATTATTTAGTTATTTACAGGTTTGCTTTTACTTTCTAGTCTCCAATTTAGAATGAATGCACAGAAAAGACAATTTCCAGCAATATTTATACATTTTTCTTTTTTTACAAGTTATACATTTCAGACAACATATCAAGCAAAGATGTACTTAAAATTAGAGCTGTACAAATTCCTCAAGAGTGCTTTTTAGTGTACCGAAATACATATGGAGCACTTTTTTTCCAACAGCAATGCCATTTTTCTTGATTTAGACAACTTCTTTGGAGGCAGCCAGTTGTGTCCCTATTCATGTACATGCATAATCACTGCTATTCTGTATGCAGGCCCACAAATACAGTTTTGAAGTAGTCAGAAAGGTTAAAAAAAGATTTCTTAACAAGAACTTAGTACACTCTTATACATTCCAAAGCATCTAACAAGCCTCAGGTCAAAAACCATTTTCTGTTAATCTATTCTTAATGCCTTGATTTTAGAAACTACAGCAGCTGAAAGCATTACAGGGTAGCTTTGAGGAGCAGTTAAAACATTTTTGCTTGGCACCGGTAATTAAATTGGATGTTTAAGTCTGCAATTTAATTTGAGCTTCTCTGTAACCATGATGTCTAAAAACATAATATTCCTCTTGGCCAATACAATTGCTTACAACTTTGGGTCTAATTTAATATCTAATCCTATCTTTAACATTTCTTTGCAATGAAAAACCCAGCTCTCAGTAATAATTATCTGTTCTAGCTCAGATACTGGGAATTGTAGCAGTGAATTCCATGGCAGTAACCTAACTTTAACACTTTGATTAATTCCTATCTACAAGAAAATTTATTTGAAGTAATCATGCTTCAAAGAATAGAATCAATGGAGTTTAAAACTATAACTAGATTAACCTACATATGAATAGCATTCAAAAATATTGATGACAGCAGACAGACTTTTCTTCTGTGTGACTGGGCAGGCACATGTCAACATATATCTTACCTACAAAAGGTAAACTGCCTAAACAGTTGATAGGAAGCTCTAAATGCAGCTGTTATCTTTTCCCAAGCAAGCGCAAGGTGCACCAAATTGGCATACAGCTTGCAATCTCAACTCACTGCTTTACCCATCAACATGCATGCATATTTCTGCCAGAGACTGACTAAATGTGTAGCCCCCAGCAAATGTACAGCCTCAGCCTCTCTTCAGAACACAGTTCAAAAATACCTGATTTTGAGATATTAATCTATGTGAACTGCAGTATATAATCCGTTTGTTCTACTCACTGGCATTCATAGAGTGCACTGGGTCATTGCTTTACCACTAGATAATTGGACACAGTGGAATTAATAAAAGAAATGTGCATCAAGATCATTCCTTCCATGCTTGTCCAAGAAGCAACAAATTAATTAGGCAAACATTTAAGCTAAAAATCCTCCACTATTGGGGGATTCGGAAGATGTCCAAGGGCATATAAGACAGGAATTGGATTTCAGGCCAATCATGAATAACTTTCTAATCATTGTAGAATTAGATGTATGAAGAAAACTCTGGTGTGATCAGTCAAATTGTTCTTAGAGACATAGATGATGGAAGAGAATGATGTTTTAAGTGAAAACCAAGTAATGGAAAGCAGAGGAATGATGCCTTATTCTTCTTCATGTGTCATATTTTCATCTTTTACTAATGGTTTCAAAAATATCCAGACATATCCACAGAAATTGTAGAAATTAAGTTAAGATTTTGTTTTCTTTTTCAACTGTAGAGCCTTTTTTCAATTTGTAGAATTCTGGGTAAGAACATTGCTTGGTGCTGTAGGTTATATCAGATAAAAAGGATTTTGATTGAAAAGGTAGCTGAATTTTTTCTTGTTCCGTAGCTGCTCACCGTCCATACATCCCAAAAACAAGAAAACTAAAAAATACAGTCACTCCAACCAAGGAAATGGTGGCAGGTGCTGTGAATAACTGGCGGTAGTTGATGCGGAAATACCAGATCACTGCCAGCATCAGCATAAAAATGGGAATCATCAAGTCACTCATGCTCAAAGTAATCCCCCCAGCTTCTGATGGTGCTACCACAGTGTCAGGAATGGCAGAAACGGTCTGGGAAAGATGACAGTGGATTACACAATTGTCCAGTATATTGAGGGACTGCAGAGACCGTGCCTGATCTTGTAGCAGTTGACCCTGGTAGATAAATTTCATCTGACTTTCCTGGCCTGGGAAATATTTGCTTTAGAAAGAACATAGATAAATAAAAGTAAAAATGTGATATCTCATAGTCTAATAAACTGATGAGCCTTTATAATGGAATCAACATGTTATTTCATGACAACGTAGTGAAGATATAATTTATTAATGAAGTGTTTTTCTAACACTTTAAATCAATATACTTTTTTACACATTTTAATCCACTCCTACAATAATGTTTGTATCATGCTCAATATTCATTTTGTAAATAATTATCATCTACCAATAACAATGCAATTTCTAAGCTGCTTTCCTATTGTGACCATGGTTGTATAAATATTGGTAGTCTTCAACTTATAACAGTTCATTTAGTGACTATTCAAAGTTACCACGGCACTGAAAAAAGTGACAGAATCATTTTTCATACAACTGTTGCAGTATCCCATGTCATGTGATTAAAATTCGGATGCTTGACAACTTATGATAGTTGCATTGTCCCAGGTCACGTGATTCTCTTTTGTGACCTTCTGACAAGCACAATCAGTAGGGAAGCCAGATTCACTAACAACCAGATTGCAAACTTAACCATTGCAATGATTCACTTAAGTGTAGCATTGTAAAATGGGGCAAAATTTACCAGCACTTTTCTCACTAAGCACAATACATTTTGGGCTCAATTGTGGTCCTTAAGTCAAGAAGTATCAGTATTATATGTTAGAATAATCAGTTATTCTCAACAAGTTCAAGGAGTTTAGACATCCCCTGTGATTCTAAAATGGTGACAGCTGAACTGATCTCTATCTGCTTGCCGGCTGGGCTTGATTCCCTCCCATGTTGCAACAGCTGGAATACTTTTTAAGATTCTTTTAAATTTGTAGGATAAAGTGAGAAAAGTCTTAAACTATACCAAGAGTTCCAAAATCAAATCTTTTTGAAAGAGATGATCTACTGTATAATGACAAGTCTGTATAAATTATACTATATTGTTCAAATCTATTCTGGGATTATTTTTTTAAAACCTATATAATTAATTTTTTTCAAACAAATAAGGACAGCACACCAAACAAATGAATGTTCATATTCAACTGTACCTCTTCAGTATGCCTATGGTGTCTTCTGGCTTTACAATAGCCACTTCTTCTGTATCATTGAGGAATTTGAGACGCACTTTGATGAATCCTGTGTTTGGCTCACTTTCCTCCATATTGGCTACTGTTTGTGGAACTCCCTGACTTTCCTGAGAAACACCATCTATTGACAAGGTCCTTTGTGGCAGACCCTGAATGTCCAATAGACAGTCTAAAGTATCAGCGCCACTGCTGTTGTCAACTTGCTCTACTGTTGGACTGGTGCCAGAAGCTGAACCTTCATCTGCCTTTTCTTCAGTATTTTCTGTAGCATTCTGTGGCTCAGATTGTTCAGAAACAGAATTTCCCACATAATTTTCAATGGGGTTTAGATGGATCACTGATGAATCTCCATTGGCCACAACAGTTCCTAGAAGATGGTTGCTACCATCTGCAACATACGTAGAGAGCCAGGCCAAGACCAAGGCCATAATAAGGACCACTATACCAGCCACCACAGTCACTTCATCTCCCACACCTTCAATTATGGTTATCTCAGGAGGCTCCATCTTTTGGCGTCAGCTAAAAGAAGAAAAAAATAGAATTCAGTTTTGGATCAAAGACTAGGAATAATTTCAGACAATACTGCATTCAGATTTTGGTGCTATATCTTTACAGTTAAATCACAAAAAAGAGAATTTGTGAGAATTTAACTATTTTTACCTATAAAAATGTATCTACCATGCTGAATTTACCATACTTTTTCTTCTGAAAACAGTAGAAATAGTTATTAATTAACTGATTCACTAAGGCTAATCAAGTTGCTGATTGGTCCTAGATGCCTTATTCATGCAATTATTAAACAAGTTACAAAAATCTTTAAAATTCTTACAATAACATGCAATAATAGTATGTAGGTTTGCAGCCTTGAGTTACTTATATGTAGTAAAGGTGAGATAAAAATTTAATGAATAAATTGAAGAGAAGAATAAATAACAAAATCTGAAATGCTAAATAATGTCTGTCTTTATAAAAAAAAGTCCATCTTTTTACTGCAAAATAAGGAACTTGAAAATTATGTGAGAGCTACATCTACAAATAGCATCTACAAAGAGCTACATCTACAAAGAGCTACATCTACAATTGTCAAAATTAAGTAGCATAATTAATTAGCATAATTATTATGAATAATTCAATCACTCAGAAACAGATTTTCTAACCAATATGATATTTTTTGCGGAACAAGGGTGGGCATGGCCTGTGTGTAACATATCTGGTCTATGGGCCACCAGTTTCACAGACCTGGGACTCTAGATAATCTGACAAAATCACTTAAATTGCCTAAACTGTTTTCCTATGTCTACCTTCTTGTTTACTTATCAAGGAAGATATAGGCTTGATTTATGTAATAAGTGAAATGAAGCTCTTCTAATGTATTAAATTGTGTATATATAATTATTTTCCCTTTACAAAGAAACCTCTATTTAGAGATAAACATTGCAACAACATACATTTTTAATGGAAGTATTTGAGGTTGATATGATAGAAAATATATCGCTACTTCCGAATTGATACAGGTGGCCCCCAAGTTAGAAAAGTTATAACCATGTTTTCTATGACTGTTCAAAATTATAATGGTGCTGAATGTGGGAACTTACCACTGATCCGTAGTTGTGATTGTTGCAGGATCCTCATAGTCAAGTTATCGCAATCCAGGCGCTCAGTGCCTGGCTTGCATTATAACATCGCAATGAGAGTGGTCCTGTGATTGCCATTTGGGACCTCCCTGTTGATTTCCCATAAGCAAAGTCAATGGGGAAGCTGGGAGGATGGATTGCAAATCATTCTTCTAAGTACCCCCTCACCCACCAACCCCGCCTACACTCAGCAGTGTGCATCCACCCTCAATACCCGCTACCTGGGATTTCAATATGGCATACTTGACATTTGAAAACCAACACAACCAAGATAACTATTTTCCCTTATCATTTTAATTATAGAAGTTATTTTAGTATTTATGCAACTATTAACTTGCAGTATTCACATTCTGTCTAAAATATTATAAGATATGCTTTTTGTCTACAGTCTTAAAGGCAGAAGACAGCACTACTTATAGGAAATCCTAAAACCATCTTAGGGTATTTTCTAACATTAAAAAAAAATCAGCATATGCGTAGACTGAGGACCTCGGACTTTAACATATTGTTAAAATCTAATTCTCAAGTCCAACACAACATGCCAATAGTTAGGAATAAAGGGGAATGGTTCAACATCTGGAAAATTATAGATTTCTCCTCTCCCAAACTACAGTAACTACAGTACATAAAGAAAAAGCCATTAATTGCTATGCCCTGGGGCCACAGTGAATAGAAAACTGAGTCATGCATTTTGTCCACATCTGAACGGAAATTTAACTAAATATCTGGACTGATAATCAATATTCATGCTTTTTAAAACCTCTATCTTCAACATCATGCCTCTACTTTTAAAATAAGGCTAGCACTGACCCTATTCATCTTATGAATTTACGGTTTTGTAGCAGGCCTGAGAATCCTTGGGAAATTAGAGAACTTGCAAGGTGACTTACTACATATCAATTTTAACACTCTCCATGGTACGTATTCTATTGTTTTTAAAGTTTATTTATGTTTTATTGTTCTTTTTATTTTATGCCACCCAGAATCACATTTGTGATATAGGCAGCTATTGACTGCAACAGTCCAAAAGAGAGGCTATTAAGAAGCTAATTTTAAGTGGATTTTTTGTGCCTATATGCTTTTCTTCATTGGGTGGTTGTTTTTAAATATTATTATTAACAGTTGTGTATAATAAGAAAAAAAATACAAACTAAAAAGAAAACTAGAAAGAATAAAAGGTTATTGTTTGATATGGCTTACCCTGCCCTTTTAAGCATTTTTCTAAATTTATCCATTATTTCTCCCATTGAAGATCTGCCTTTCCATTCATTTGACTGCCAAATTCTAAGGGCAGAAGTCTCTCCTCCTATTAAAAACACAGTTCCCCAAGTGTCAGCCTCTCCCCACCCCACGCCTTTTCAATGCTCCGCAATACGTGTGAAGGGAGGCAATGAAGCCCTGGGCTGAGGGGCAGTATGGCAGGAAGCAAGAAAAGGCCTCCTGATAACACAAGAGAAGGGAGGATCTGTATCATAATTTCAAAGTAGCACGGCAGAAAACACAACAAAAGGGAGGAAAAGCTCCATTTTTATTTGGAGGAGGAGAAGGGGAGACCCATAAAAAGGTCACTGAGGGAGCTCAGTGATTTTGAGGGGGGGGGGCTCTGAAATAGGACCAAACTATGCGGCTTTTCCATTAGCGGAAACAAGATTGTATTTTATTTTTTTTAAGCGGTGCAGGAAAGGCTGAGGCTTTGGGGGGCGCAGGAACCTGTCACTCACCTTCCTTCCTTAGAGTCTCTTCCTCCAGCTTCCCACAGGGGAGACGTCACTAACGACCGCTGACACGTAGTTGCGAGGCGCACAGGATTGTTCGGCTGCAAAACTGGTTGCTATAGCAGCAGCTACAGAATTAGGTCTATGAGGCGATAAGCACGCGACGGGATCGCTTAATGTTCTTTACTGGTCACTTTTTCTATTTATAGATTTATTCTTCGAAGAGAATGAGACGCCAACATAAATGGCTTGCTAGCTAAATAGGGGTGGGGTGGGTGTTTTAATCCCATTTAATTCCTTTTTTCCCAATATCGCAGAACAGAGCGACTTTTATCATTTTAAGGTTGCGAAGATCAGGCTTGATCACTAGAGGGCAGCAAAGCGGCTTTTGCAACCAGATCAGCTAATAAATTCTGAAAGCGTTGGTGCTATTTTTCTTCTACTAGAAAAGAGCCCATAAAAAGGAATATTGAAAAGAGTCCATAAAGCGGTGGAAATTCTTATTCAGGTTTCATTTTGTTTTGTTTTGACTTCTTAAAGTTCTTCACTTATAGGTACCAAGATTGTGTTTTCTTTTTGATAATTGTATCTATGTTTTCTTAATACGTGTTTGAAGCTATGCTTTTTTCTAAAAATCGTTGTGATTCATATACAGCTTTGCATCTTTCTTCAAATTCTTTAGAAACTGCATCGAAAAACTATTTCCTCCCAAAATCCATCAACTGTAGGAAAGGAAGCTAATTAGCAACTGTGACAATATGATTATATGCTGGGATATAATCTCTCTCATCTCAAAAAGAGAAAAATATACTTTTATTTCAGAAGAAAGGAAATATCTCAACTTGATAAAAGATTGATGTTTTATTTTCTCCATGAAATTTTTATCTTACAACTCAAAATAAAAAAAAATGCTTTCTCTGTCTATTGACACTCATAGGAAGGGTGTGTGTGTGTTTGTGTGTATTTCAATACAATTGAAATATTACACAGGTCTACAAAAAAAATGTTTGAGAGCTGTTTTGGTTATTCCACGTAATCTTTGTTTTTTGGTGCACTGAATCCGAAAATAACCTCCATTTTGTCATAGGACACCACGTTTCCTGACAATGTAGGTAACTATGTTAAATAAGGTAATACCTCAAAATAAATGGAAATAGACTTATACAATTAAAGTTTTATTACAATATTTTCATGATAATCCTTTTTTGAACTGAAATGAGCTCACCTACACACACTAAACTCGTTTTTCTTCCTTGTGAGGCTCCTTTTGGTGCATTTACGCTTGTGAGTAGCATCTGGAATATCTCTCTGAAGCATCCAACAGTAGTCTGCCATCATTGTAATGCTCCATTTTCCTTGGGATACTGGAATACTAAAGGTATATAAGCATAGGGAAAGCGCCCCAGAGGGGGGCCACAGCTGGGATATAAGGATATCTGCAAGAGGGATCTAAAGGCCTTGGGAATGGACATTATCAGCTGGGAAACCTTGACCTCCTCTGATCATTCAGCTTGGAGGCTAAAGAAGCAGCATGGCCGTCTCCAATTTGAAGAGACACTTGTTCAGCAGGCTGAGGCTGAGGCAGTCCTAGAACCAGCAAAATCTGGGGGCTGGGCAGGCGACAGAATGTATCTGCCTCAGTGTGGAAGGGATTGCCGCTCCTGAATTGGACTTTTTAGCCACACAAGATACTGCGTTAGGACCTCTTTTCAGAGCACGATACCATAGTTTTTGAGACTGAAGGATGCCAATGTATTGAGTATTTTTAATATAATGGTACAAAATCACCTATAGGAGATAATAAAATTCTAGGAATAAATGTTAGTGATGCTTAAAAGTATTTATGAAATGTGACAAAGAATCGTAAGGAAATGATGGGATTATTCAAAGATAAAGACAGTGGTGAAATTCAATTTTTTTTACTACCAGTTCAATGGGCGTGGCCTGGTGGACGTGGCAGGGGAAGATACTGCAAATTTCCCATTCCCTCCCCACTCCTGGGGGAAGGATATTGCAAAATCTCCATTCCCAGCCCACTCTGGGCCAGCCAGAGGTGATATTTGCCAGTTCTCCGAACTACTCAAAATGTCCGCTACTGGTTCTCCATAACCTGTCAGAACTTGCAGAATTTCACACTGGATAAAGATGTGAGTGTAGAAGATCCTCAAAAAAATGATGGAAAAAGATAAACATAATATTCAGAAGACAGATGAGAAATTTGAAAGAGTGGTGGTGGAGACAAATCAAAATAAGTTACAAGAAGACAAAAACACTGAAGAGACAGTAACAATAAATACTAAGAATAAAATAGAAAATTCCTTAAGGGTTTACAATAAAACATAAGAGGAAAAAACAAAGGTTTTTCAAAAATAATGAAAGGGTTATGGATGGGTATCCAAATGATGCAGCAGCAGAAGACAAGGGATAAGGCAGATGGAATATTCAGTTTTTGCAAAAATATTAGAAAGAAATATAGGATCCCAAGAGAGAAATATAAAAGTCACCAAAAAGTCAGCAAATGATGAAATTCTAAAAAGGCTAAGAGATGATAGAGAGAAAATATCTTGTAATATGGTGATTGTATCAAAAACTAATAGAAAAAAGTAGAAAATATAAATTGGAAAAATAGTAGCACACATATGATTCAATAGGGTTCAGCAAATACATTGTATGAAGAAATGTTATTGATATTTAAATATATTTATGGAAAAAGTAATAAAGAGAGCATATTATTATTTAAAGGCAAAGATGTGAAGGTAGAACTCCCAACAAGTGGGGGAAAATAAAAATTTGGAAAATATTATATATTTTGATACAAGAAGAATCTAATATAATTACAATGAGCATATTAAGGTTAGAAGTTGGAAGGCAAAGACTATGTATATTTAATTGTATTGTTAGTACTGTGTAAAAAGTATGTTGACCCAATCAATATACTGTCCACAAAATATGTTGGTTGTTAAAGGAAAACTACAAATAAAACATACAATTTTTTAAAAAATAATATTGCTAGTCTTGCATGATCTTGCAGATTTCAATTACTTTTTTTGTTTTTGTTCTCCAAGATAAATGTTTCATTATGTAGTGCACTGAAGATGTTATCTAATCAGGCAAGGAAAACAAGCTTAGAGAGCACCAAGAATTCCACAGTTCAACATATATTTTCTTTTATTGGCACAATAGAATAGTTTTTTTTTATTTCAGATTCCAGCCCAAAGATTTAATATCTTCATCTTGATGCTCATATACCTTGCATTGTTCTCTTAACATATCATCAGCATATAGACATCATGCCCGGGAATTGACCCTATTTAGTATTTTCAGCCTATACCTTGATAAAGATAGCAATTACAAATGAAAGTGAATACACCCGTCCCAGGATAATGTTGCAGGATTTAATTTGGATCAGTCACCAGGACCAGAGGTTTTGTCTTTTGAGCTGTTGGACTTCTGTTGGAGCCCATCTTCAGGAAGCTCCTCTCTAGCCTAGAAAGAAATTCCCTGAAGATGAGTCTGAAAGTTCAGAAAACAAAACCTTTGGTCCTGGTTACCGACTCAGATTGGATCCTGTAAGATAGCAATTACAGGTAGGACCACTCTCATTATTGCCAATGTTTAATTTGTCACTGCCAAATCAGCTGATGACCATCCCACTCTATCCCACCTTATTCCCAGGAAGTTTGATCTACAGGTCACCAATAATTGTCACTACAATTAGTATCAGATTCTTAACTGAATAGAAAAATATGCCCAGTGATGATAATCTCTCTATGAATTTACCTCATCATTTACATTCTTAAGCAAAGTTTGTAATCAAAGCCAAGCGAACCAGGATCAATATTAACATATGTGAATACCCACCCTTTATTTAGATGGACAGAATACGTAGTTAGCCCATTGGTGAGAATCTTTCATGCCAGAGATGCGATAATAATATGCACATATTGTCATTGTATAGATGGAACTTCAGTATGCAAGAAAATAATTTCCAGCCTGAATCAATGGACATGCATGCCTCAGAACCTCTTAACAAGACTCACTCTTGCATTACAGTCAAAATTTCTTTTCACATTTTTCTGCTTTTTCTTCTGGAAGGACATAGAAAGTGATACACTCATCATATTTATCTCTATTTACTATGCTTCCATATCATCCAAGAGCAAGAGTTGACGGGGTACAAGAATTATGATTATCAACATAGCTAAAATTTTTGCTATTTAAGTATAAGTAAGTATAAGTATAAATATATAAGTATAATTTTATATAACAAAATTGGTTTTAACCTTATTTGCAGTTTAATCACAATTTTAGTGGTAACACTAGTATTTCATTACAGAAGGATGGAATCATATTTAATTACTAATTGCTCTCTATTTTTCCATCATTTTATTTGAGATAACCCTTCAATGGGAGAAATAAATATTCATGCAAAGCAGAAGGCAGTTTCAATTGAGAGATGCCTTTATGGCAATGTATCCCTAACTGCTTTCGAATAGCACAACGAGCTAAATGTTGCAATGGGCGAGGTTGATTCACCAGAAAAAGAGCTGAATCATAGAACATTTGATGCTCCTGTAAAGACATGAAAAAAAGTTAAATGTGGGTTTTATTCATACATGACATATCAATAGGAAAGCATCAAGAGGCAGACATGTTATACAGAAATTATTCTAAAAGTTCCCTGCAAAGAAAAAAAAAATATTCTACAACAGACTACATCCCCCATGGAAGTTAAAAGTTCTTTGGTTCAATTATTTTACGGACACACATAATATCTATTCCTAAATGTACAGTAATACTGTATTACATAGAGTTTTCAGATTCTAAACCACTTTTTCCATGTTCTAAGTTGTATCTATTATATTGTCTATATCAGGACAGTCAAAATTGTTAAATATCTATCACAAAAGCTATGCACTTTCATCCACTTACTATTTTTCTAACATTTATTGTTCAGTCTTGACATAACTTCCAAATTTGTCTATTTTATTCATAAAGAAGTTTATGATATCTGTCATATTCTGATATGACAGTTCAACCAATCAACTAAGCTTAGGTTCTTTTAGACATTCTACTTTATATTTCAAGAGTATATATAAATTGTGAAAGTAAATCCCCTCACATAGAATTAGTTGTCAACAACTTTACTTACAATCCATGTTATGGGAAATGATCAAATGATGGATTAAGACTTTATTTTTTTAAAAAGCAGTAAAAACATTCAATTTTAAAAATAAAACCCAAATTCATGGTTGGACAATACTTTTATTAGGCTCAACTAGACTTGAGTAATACAAAAGGGTGTTATTAACTTTTGAATTTTCCAGAATTCTGTTTTAAATTGAGAATCCCTGTCAGAGTACTATCATTAATTAAAACTTCTAGACTTAACAATGCTTTTTTTAACTACATAGAAATTTCTTCCTCACCCTGCAATATTTTTCTAGAGATAACCAGAACATACTATCATGTGATTCCTCACTTACACTACATGATCAAGCTATGTTCAATGATACATAATATAAGAATATAATTTGATCGTTAGAGGGGGAAATAATCCTATGAGAGCACATAGTTGACTTTCAAACAATGTGATAGGAACCCAAATTAAACAAGTAGTTTTGGAGTTTTAACAGGAACAGGGAGATTATAGAGGGCATAGAAAATAGTCTTGAGAGAGGAAGAGCCCTTACTTAGTGAGTAGTTATGAATTAGAATTCATGACTAGAACTCGCTTACTGAGTGAGAGGTCAGATAGTAATAAAGATGAAGGCAGGGTATGATTACTTATTTCAAAAGGCTTTCTGGGAAGCAATTCTAATATATACAATCCAATTGTAAAAACTAATTCTTGTAAAGATCTGATTAATTGAATCTAAGCTACGACTAGAAGTCAAACTGAATATATGACTATTTACTTCTCTTTTAGAAAAAAAGGAATGATATCCAAAAAACTGTCAACATTTCTCAGCTAGCACTCCCCAATCTTGCTCCCTAAATTGTAGTGCAAGTCCAGATTTTACTCAGCAAGAAAAAAACAAAGGGCAGCATAATGGTAGAAGAGTATGAAATATAAGTAATGGTGAACAAAAAAGTACTGTTACTTACTTGCCACATTTCAGTAGATACAGATTCCACCCAGGAATCACAGGACAATACTCGATCATAAGAATTCAGAATTATTTCCATAGATCGAGGTGATGAGGCACAAAACTTTAGCATCTAAGTGCAGAAGCATTAAGAGAAAACAGCAAAAGATTATAAAAAGCATGTATATCTTGGAAGAGAAAAGGAATGCTTTCAACCAAAACCCCTATATTCTCACAGCGCCTATATGAAGCACAATCTGAGAGAAACATTAAAAACAACATTTTGGTCAGTTTTTATCCCGGAGATAGTTTCTATTTTTAAGGCTGGTGTAGACTTTGAAGAGAAAAAAATGGCTACAAGATTGGCTCTACCATTTACATAGAGTGAAACAAGTGCCTCTCAATGTGAAAACTTTAGGTAGTGCTATCCATTCCTCTTAAATGTCTAGTAAGTTACAGCCTGCTCAGCATCCTCTACCTTCTATATGTGAAATTGAAACACAAAATATCTTGTCCTTGTACAGGAAGGAAACTGTCCTGAGTTGATATACATTTTAAAAACTTACAAACTTAAGTTACAATATATTATTGTCACATAATATTATGCAATCCAAAAATCAGTCAAGTTTTCAGAAATGCTCACTGATAGCCTCAAGAAATCACTAAAACTGAAGGCACCATTCTTACCTTAGGATTAATAGAGGCAGCACCATGGTTGAGCAACATTACTATAACTTTTTCAGGCTCTTCCTCCAGGTAATCTTCCACTGCTTGCAAAGCACAGTCCATAGGAGTATTGCCAGCACAATTACGAATATTGACTTCTGCCCCATGCTGTAGTAGGAGTTCCACAATCCCAATGTGACAGTTGCTGCAGGCATTGTGCAGTGGAGTATGGTTCTTTCGGCCAGCGATCTGGACATTGGCCCCACCATCAAGAAGTTGCTTTACCACTTGGTAATAGCGACCAGCCCCCTCAGGTCTATCTGCATTGGCACAAGCAGTGTTGAGAGCTGTCTCTCCTTCCCGATTTCTATGAGCAATATTTGCTCCATAGCAAAGATAGAGTTTGACATGATCCTCTAAACCATTCCTACTAGCCACATGCAATGGGGAAGCATGACCATCTCTTGATTTCTGGTTCACTAGAGCTCCATATTCCAGTAGTAGTTGAGCACATCTGAAAGGCACAGAGATGCATTAAGGAATTTTGCAATTGCCTTACAAACCATTGTTATTTAATCTTACATTCTGTTAACTTTAAAATATATTTTAAAATATTATAGAAATAGATAGCTAAATGCCCGTTAAGCAGTTTTGCACTGCTTGTAATTACATATAGCTTTATTCCACCATATGCAGTTACTCTATTTGCAGTTCTATTAAACACAGCTTTCAATTATTTCTTTTATTATGAGGTAAACAATGTAAACAAATAAGTAAAACTTTATTAAAATTTAATTCTGAATTAAGCATTCAAACTGAAAGCATTCACATTAATAACCAAAGAGGGCAAACCAGTCCCTTAATTACAAAGTGCACTTCACTGCAGTTTAAAAAAAATGTTATTCATGGGCAATTGGACAGGGCTCAGGGCAGAAACTTCAGTATTTAATAGAAAATGTAAAACAAACACTTCTGCATTAACTCATATCTATATACTACTAAGACTCTCATATCTGCCTGATTGTTTGCAACCTTGAATTGAGTGAAATGTGTGTCATATGGCAACAAACCTCAAATGGACTAATTTACTGAATGGGTCAACATCCAGGACCCATAATTCCTGTGGGATTGAAATTTTGCAAAGTTGCTGCTTTAGTACTATTTAGGTCATAAAACATGATTACATGACTCTGGGACACTATCATTATATGAGCCAGTTCCCCAAGCGCCCACATTTTGATCACATCACCACAGGGATCTAAATCAAGAAACAGAATAACTGCAGGTGGGTAGAAAAGCAATGGGAGTGGAATCCTAAGTGTGAAAAATGGTCATAAGTCACCCTTTTTCAGTGCCATTGTAACCTTAAACTGTCACTAAATGAATGGTGATAAGTTGAGAATTTTAAAGGGAAAAACATGGAACGCATATGTAAACTGGAACAGGATTGGTTGTTATTTGGAATGTTGTGTTTGGAGCTTGTCTGCTGTGAAAGACAAATTATCTCTCTCATGTTAAACTTGGGTTTTGTTTTGTTTGGGTGTGGGGTTCATTGTATGCCTTTTTAGGTGGGATTGTGTTACAATTAAGACCTCAGGTGTAGACTGTTGAGTTTTATATAGTTAATGTTAAAATCCTAAATACTCTAGATGTTTTGCTGGTAATTTGATTGAAGAACACCTTACTTATTTGATTTGCCAATTGTTAAGAGATGGATTAGAGGATGAAGAGTCTACATTTGTTAGATAAGAGGAGGTGAAGAGATCATGTGGGAAATCCCTCTTATGGGAAGATTTTTTTATCCTTTTTCTTGCATTTTTCTTCTTTTTCTCTATTCTAATTATTCAAAAGTTTTAATAAAATTGTTCTTTAAAAAGGAAGTTGGTCCACTCCCATTGCTTTTCTACCCACCTGCAGTTATTCTGTTTCTTGATTTAAATAAGGAAATATCTATGAAACAATGGGTCATGGTTTGTGTAGTTCAGGTAATAAAATGTAAGTTTTCTACATGCCCTTCTATCACATTGAACAGAGAGATTTCCAAAGAAATAGTCTGCCTTGCTTCTTACATGCCTTATCCCAAGAGATTAATTTAACATCAAAGAATAATTCTTGCACTTGAAGAACTTTGTTATTTTACAAATTATGCCACTACTTTCCTATTAGCCTGTCTTTAATCTTCCTTCAAGCCATTACACCAGTGGTGAAATTCATTTTTTTTACTACCGGTTCTGTGGGTATGGCTTGGTGGGCATGGCAAAATCTCCATTCCCACCCCACTCCTGGGGAAGAATATTGCAAAATCTCCATTTCCCACCCTGCTGTGGGGCTAGCCAATGGTAGCATTTGCCGATTCTCTGAACTACTCAAAATTTCTGCTACCGGTTATCCGAACTACTCAGAATTTCTGCTACCAGTTCTCTAGAACCTGTCATAACCTGCTGAATTTCACCCCTGCATTACACCCACAATTCTTTCAACTTCCCAGACATACGGCAAAGTTTCGTGAGTGGTGCACAAGTGCAATGGGGCCAGCCCCTCTTCTGAAAGAATATTAGCATTAGCACCATAACGTAGGAGCAGACGGGTACATTCTTCATGGTGGTTGGCACAGCTATCATGCAAAGCAGCTTTCCCACCAATAACTGCATTGACATCTGCCCCTTTCAAGAGCAGATGTTTCACACAGTCTTGATAGCCCCTGGCAGCTGTTATTCGCAATGGAGACGTGTGCTTCTTTTGAGCAGTCAACACCCACAACCCTGTAAAACCAACAAAGACAAAGATAATTGATTGTGCAAAAGCTTCCTGTATCAAAACATGGCAAAATATATAGAGCTTCAGTTATCTAATTATATTAGTTGGCATTAAACTGAGGATATTTTTTCCCCTGCAGCACATTCATTACAGCTAATTCTGTTGATGTGCATCAGCTGAAGTCTATTTTACATACAAGTTGTTATTTATTCAGAATTCATTTATTTTAAAACATACATGGAAAACTTTCAGAAAGATAGAATATAAATTAAGGAACAATAAAGCTAATAGTTATCATAATAAAACAAAATGTTCACAATCCTCACACCACAAAATGGCTCCCCTAGAAACTTACACATTAATGCAAATAACTCAAACATGCTTATGTGGTTTTCCAAGAAATATAAGTGCCTCAAATATTAAAAATATAAAAGCGGTCTAGGTGGAACTTTGGCCTGACTCAATTTCATTATACAGTCTGAGGAAATACTATGCAGTTTTAGGCTTAACTTGAGCACTAGAATGAAAATACAGAGGAAGAATAAAAGATGCAAAACATAAAAACAACTAACTACAGCCTCGTATAGTCTTCTGCTTTAATGGTTCATTTCCTTACACATTTGTTTTTAAAGAGGATGAGATGATATACAGCTGAGTGGGAGAAGGAAAAAAAAAGAAATGTGTTATATTTAAAATGTTTTGCTTTTCACCCAATTCCTGAGGATTATAGTTTGGTGACAGTCATTAGTGAAATAGTTTCAAATATATAATCAAAACCAGTACAGGGTTAGGGATAAACTTAGGTCTTGCCTCAGAAATAGAAACTAAAGACTCTAAAGCCAAATAGAGATTGAAAACTATTGTTATAAAAGAACATGTTAGAGAACTCTAAATCTAATAAATAACAACTCACACCAACATATTAAATTTATATGCTGCCCACTTCCCAGTGACTCTGGGTGGTAAATTCTAGGAAACCTTGTTACTATTAATTCAGTCTTAGAATATCTATGGTATGTTGCAATGATGTTTATAAATGATATCATATTACATACAGTTCTAATTTCATCTGTTTTATTTTATCATCAGCGTTTCAGAAAAGAATTAAAATAGATGTTATGAATATATTTAATTATTTTTCTCTATTTTTATTGCATGATTTAAAAGATATTTACAATTCAATAAACCTTATATTATTAATTGAAAAGATAACAGCATTGTACAGGTATTCCTTCCTTCCTATTACAGTAGTGAAAATATTATTTTGAAAAAATAATGACCAAAAACATGGGGAAGTTTAAACATGAAAGTGGATGACTGAACACATAAATAAGGCAGGTTAGTATGGTAAAAGGCTTTCTGCGAAAGAAACTTGTCTGGGCCTCTACTCAATGTTGCATTTTTTTTCAACTAACATAATCAACACATATTTCTTCCATTTATATTTTTATGGAATTAAATTTCATACATTACAAGCCTTTGTTCCACAATACAAACAGTGAATGTTTATCTAAAACCTGAAGAAAAATGACCAACATTACTTGTTTCCTTTCTGCTAGAGATTACCCATCTTACCCTGATCAGCTGACCACTCTAGTTCTTCCACCTGGGTCTCCACAATCAAGTTGGAAGTGATTTTATCTTTAAAAATGCTTTGAATTCTTGGCAAGTCTCCTGTGTAAAGGGTATTGTGAAGAGCAGGATCCCGGCAGTATTCAAGATGTCTGGTGGGCTTGGGGAGAGAAAGGAGGCTCCTGGCAGTTGGACGATACCTCTGGCTGGCCCACTGATGAGATGCAGCCCTCTGCCGTTCTTCCCACTCCAGCTTTTCTCGTTGCAAGCGCAAGGAGCGCAGAGTGGAAGAGGTGAATACAAAAGTTTCCTTTGACATTCTTCTAAGCAAGAAAGGAATTTGGCGTTTTCTACCCAGTAGTCCAACTCATCAACCCAAAATCATTTATGAAAACAGCTGATACTTCCAAATTTTCAAAAGCTACTATTATGACAAGGTCTCACTGACAAGTACATCTGCGTACTTATTACTCAGGGTTATAAATAGAATTGAATAGTCATCATAGAAGCAGTGTCATCTTTCTTTTTAGAACTGAGCAAAAAAAAAGAACATAAGTTCTCAAATTCAATTAGAAAATCAGTAATAAATCAAGATATGCCACCTAGTAATAAAACTATAATGAAAATATAAGATGATAAAAACAAGAACAGGTAATATTTGAACCTAAACAAAATTACTTAAATAATTAATCTCAGCCATATATATGAAAATAGCTTGAGGTATCGAAGAAAAGGAACTTGACATTTAAATGCTGTTTCAAAGTATCAGCCAAATTGAGAATTAATTAATTACTGTTGAAAGTCTATATATTAAGAATGCAAGAAACAAAAGTTTGTAAGGCTACTGTAGATAGCCATAGATGCACATAGACATAAAATAGTAAAAAATGTTTCCATAAGAAAATACAGATGAGCAGAATTAAGCAAATGAAGAACAAGGCAGTAAAGTGTATTGAGTCTCTTTCAGGTACAAGGAATATTTTTCAATAGAGTCTTTTAAGAAATTCTTTTTTTCTCATTCTGGTGCACTTGAAGACCATGATTCAAAATAGCAATTCTGTTCTCAAATAATAAAAATTCAGCCTGGAGCACATCTATGAATAATACCTCAAGACAGCAGAGTATGGTTTCTCTACAACTCAAGAATGAGCTACAAAGCAATAAAACTGAAGTTCTACATGTGAACTAGTTATAGAAAAACTGCCTTCCATGAGAGTCAGATTTTTCTCACTTACTAAGAGGAATCTCTGCAAGAGAGTTGAGGACGCAGGGTGTTTCATACATAATAATATTGCATTGTCCAATACCGCTTTCTACATTTGACTTTCAAGTTTAAGAAATTATAATTTTGAAACTAATTGAAAATTCACCTTTTATTCACCTCACTGAATTGAATAATTTCATAAATATAAAATCTATTAAACTCTATACCTTGTTCAGAGAGCAGTAACTGGATTATCATCCTCACTGGAGCATCTCAAAACATTGCATATTGAAGAACCATCACAAACATACACAGTTTTGCACATAATTCATCTGGCAGACAGATATACTGACCCTTAAAAAACTTCTACCAAGTAGGTTTCCATAATTTGATAAATATTCACACAATTTACCTGGAATGTTTAACAATCTATTTAGCATTGCAAATATTTTTCATAACCTGGCTCTTATTTGAATGAGTGCATGAACCTCTGTCTTGATATTTATAACAAAAGTCCTTTACCCTCTATGGTACTATATAATAAAAAATCTTGCTTTTTATTACTTTTTTCTAATATCCCAAAAGCTAAAGTGAGAATTGAGTTTATTGTTCAGTTATAATATCCAAGAGTTTGTGTATATAGAGGTCCGCATATGAATTTCTTTGTACGTAACAACTTTTTTCTGTTTGAACATGCCATGAATATATGTAACTTAAAAAATGGAACTGTGATATGTATGTGTAAAAATGTTATAATTTTCACCATACCCATTCAAACGATGAGGTTCCCAAACAAAAACAAAAAACAACAACCATCTGTTTCCATAACATTATGAAAAAATTCCATATGCACATTATTAAAAGTGAGGTAGGCAATAGCTGAAAAAGAAGAAATTAATAAAAGAGCCAATTGTATGTAGTGATTAAGGTGTTAGTCTAGGAACCAAGAAATTGTGAGCTCTAGTTCCACTTTAGGTATAAAAGTCAAAATGACTTGTCACTATCTTTCAACCCAACCCAACCCACAGGTTTGTTTTTGTGAAGAAAATGAAGAAGTATTATGTACCAGTATGTGCATTCCCATAAATAAAAGTGGAATAAAAACAATCAATCAAGTAAATAAATAAATAAATGTTGAAATAGACAATCTTTTGTTAAACTTCAGAAACCACTTCAACAGATATATTTTTCACATTTATTTTTCAGACAGTATCAATTAACATAAGCATTTTTTATTGTTTTGGAAGACCAGTTAGAAGACAGTTTGTTATGCCTGAAACAGTGTATAACAAAGCACCACAGTAAACATTAAATACATACCTAAGGCAATTTCAAACCAAATGGAGTAACAGTTACTTGTTAATTTAAAAAGTCATTGCAGGTCATTCCAATAGCCTTGCAAAATTTATTTTCTGACGAGACAAGTTTGTAATAAGGTGTGGTGCAGGGTCTCAGTACTAGTGTGCAAAAATATAGGATCTCTGCCAAAAACCAGCTAAGTTCTTTCCACGCACAGAAGGTGCATTAGCTTAACATCCAGCCATCTTGCTACTAAATCTATTTTCTACCTAAAGGACAGCTTACATCTAATTTATAAAGGATTTTTTTAGTGATTAGAAAGTGCCCCTGCAAGGAAGTCTACCTCATGGTGAAAAAAGGCTCATGAACAAAGGTATGCGTCCAGATCCTACCCAGCAAGATATTTTAGGATTAGTGAGCTGTCATAAAGTGTTCTGTTCTTCCAAGCTGGAGAAAAAATCATCAGGGAGTTCACCAAGAAGCTGGTCCAGATCATCTACAAGGACAAAATGAGACCAAGTTTTTAACAATATATTAATCACTCGCAGCTACATTAGCCATGGTGGCACAGTGCTTAGAATATAGAGGACAGAGTGAAATTGCCTCCATTGCATTTTAACTTCCCTGAGGCTGGTGGGAGGAGCTGCTGGCTGGGGGGGGGGAGGAGTCTGAGAGAGAGAGTACAGGAGGACAAAGGTATCATTTTTAAAGGTGGGCAGCTATATAAATAAATAGGTGCAATGTGAGGGCTGATAATATGTGATTTTGCAAGCATTATCTAGCTCTGCAAAGCTTCCCTCATTTCCATTTTAAAAGCACAGAGAAGAATAACAAAAGACAACAGATAAAATAACCATTACTGTTTAGCATTCTATTTACCCAAGTCAGCTCTCTCAACGGATTTGCCTACTCCACAATTTCCTGACTCTTGTAATAATGATGGACTTTCGTTTGATGCTAATACATGATGACATCTCTTCTTATTTCTCTCATATCCTTCCATATTCTTGTGATCCATAGCAGCCATTACAATCACAGCACCTATGGGGGGATCCTGCTATAATTTTAAGACAGCATGTTAATATAATTGAAAGGGAAAGTATCACTACCTAATATAAGAGTTTAGACTAGAATAATGTATGCTTTAAAGAAGATCTTAAAAAAAATATTTATCCCATCATAATTAAATTTTTATCCTGACTATTTTAACTCAAATGGGGAACATGCTTAATCCTCCCTCCTATTTTTAAAGCAACCCTTTGAGATGTTAGGTTAAGAGTGATTGGCCCAAAGTTACCCACCTATGCCTGAAGGCCTAGGACTCGGTCTTTTGCTACATTGCTATACTGCACTATTATACTAAACTGGCTCTCATGGGAGCACAGCATTTTTCTGCTGTTCATTAATGAGTCACTACCACAAGTCTCAATTTAGCTCGCTTGGATTTAAATTACGTTTTCTTTTCAGTTTAGCTATCTATCCACATGAAATTTCTTATATCTTTTCCTACAATCATATTTCTAATTTTTGTATAATTAAAATATTACTGTTTTTATCATCACATCTTTACCTGTGGTGTCACAGTCTCACTTGTTTCCCAAATCTCTTGGTATTGCTGAAGCTGATTTCCACCGCTGAAACCAGGTAAATATACTTTCACCAAGTTACTGGGTGTGACATTGAGATAATGATTGCGATGGGATGGAGAGAACACGCTCACCTGTAAAGACAGTTATCAGTTCTTTTCACAATAATATGTGGCACTATTAACATGCTAATTTGTATAGGCATGCTAAAGTTTGATGCCAGCAGATGAAATGTTTCCAAATCTTGCCTCTCCACTAATGCTTGAAATGATCTATGTATGTTATAGTCACCCTAACTGCATTTCTTGTTTGCATCTTAAAGAACAATAGGAAGGAAACAGCCTTGTTATATATAACTGCCAGTGCATAATCTGATTTCTGTCCATTGCATTGAAATAACACACTAGGATTGATATATGTGTGTGTACAACAGGAGGGAATTAAAATATCTAGCTTAAAAATGTCAAATTGAAATGGGGGTTGAGAATATTTATATTATATTATTCTTACTGAAGAAAGCTGTAAAAGAAATCATATTGTTTTGTTTTGTGTTTTGCTGGACTATAAATATCTGCTTTATTCTGGTTCCAGAGGTTTTAGAGATAGACAGCAGGAAAATATACATTACAAACCTCTTGGGCAGGAAGTTGTTTTTTTTATCTTATTCTAATATACTTCAAATTTTGCAAAACACATTATAGCTCGACAGCATAATACAAAGGAAATATCAGTAAATCAAGTGCAAAAATTTTACATATATATTATTATTATTGGCATGGAAAGTATCAAGGCTCATCCAGCCTTGAATTTCTTGCTTCCTTACCTGTTTTAGCAGAAGCACTGAACCAATTTTAAATTCACTTTCTTTTTCTTCCAGCAACAAACGATGTATTGTGCCCTGCATTTCACCTATTTGAGAGAAGATCAGACAAATGACAGCAACAAAAAGAATCTACCAAAATCTAGCAGTAATTCTAATTTGTACAGAATATAGGGACTGGATTCAAGCATCTAATCTGTTATTTGCTCAAGCACAGCAGTTATTTTCAGATAAGCAGTTGAATATTTAATGCTATACATTTCTGCTTAAATGTACGGTATTGCCTGGCAATGTTACTGTTTTGAGTTTATATTGTCGGATATATTCTATAGGTATGGTTGCACAGTTAGTAATTGTATTAAGTTCTTCTAGAGAAGATTGTATTATATATTTAGACACCCAGAGTCTTTTTGGAGTTGGGTGACTTTTTTCATAATTTGCTAGGTTCTTTTTTTATGATAACAGTTGTGGGCAACTGGCAGACATTCTCCCAAATGTATAGCTTACAGAGACATACTGAA